CACACACACACACACACACACACACACACACACACACACACACCATGCACCTGCACACACGCACGAGGTGTACTTCTGCGCAGCCTTACGCCCTGCACCTATGCGCGCACTGTCTGCGATGGGCACGCATCAGCAATTTGTGCACCACACAGGTGCGCCGCAAGCATTCTATAAACAACTCCACAAATAAAAGCATGACGGTGCCAGACTGTGTGTGTGGGTGTGAGAATCCTTTGTGTGTGTTTTAAATGTGCACCACAACAGCCCCTATTCCACACAAATGAGTAGATTCAGAACTGTGTTTAGCAGGGGTTTCTTTGGGGCAACAGCTCCTCTTTTACTATGCCTCGCGCATACAAGGCTGCCCACTTCGATTGTGTTTAAGCAGCAGCTGCCCACATCCGTGTGTGGCTTAACGGCCCACTTGCACGTTATAACAGGCGGCAGAGCAAAGGGGAAGGTACGCTCCTGTGCATTTCATTTCAGATCTTCACCTTGTACTTATCTTTGTGTCTGTCGTTCGTCTTCATACTCCTGTTCATTTCACTTCAGATGTGTGTCTGTGTGTGTGTGTGAGAGAGAGAGAGAGAGTTGTCAGCATGTTTGTGTGTGTGTGTGTGCATGTGCTCGTTTGTGTGCGTGAATAGGTGGGCCAGATTGCCGCCACTATGGGTCTGGGCATTCCGCAAAGTTGCGGGCCCGGTAGGTTTGTGTGTGTGAATAGGTGAGCCAGATTGCCGCCGCTATGGGTCTGGGCATTCCGCAAAGTTGCGGGCCAGGTAGGTTTGTGTGTGTGAATAGGTGAGCCAGATTGCCGCCGCTATGGGCCTGGGTATTCCACAAAGTTGCAGGCCCGGTAGGGAGGGTAAACCAGGTAAAAAAAGGGGTGCAGGCCCAGGCCTCTGACGGTGAGGTCCAGATTGCAAATTTGCACACCGGCCTGACAGGGGCATATCACAGAGTATTGGGGCGGGAAAAAAAAAAAAAAGACATTCCGCTCTACGCACATCTTTTAGGGGCATTTTGGCATCTTTGGCATCTTTGGGCGGTATATCGCAAACTTTCCCCCCCCCAAAAAAAAAAACAAAAAAAAAAAAACAAATGCCTCCCAAGTCGCTAACAGAAACCTCATCCTGTTTGATTCAAAATCGTTCTGCAATCTCCAGACATTTCTGCACTGGCGACTGACAATGAAAGTGACAGCTCACCTTCTTCTTACAATGGACAAAAGAAAGTTCCAGCACGAATTCAAGACCAGGTCACATTCAACTTGGAATCTCAGAGACAGGCTAAACTGCAAAACCCGATAACGATTACGAACATCGACACAAAGTAGCGGAGATACGCTGACAGTGTGATAAAGCTGCGTGTAAATAAAGTGAAGGCTGCATATGAAAGGCCAGTTGGACAAAGGATGTCATTGACCAAAAAAAAAAGTGAAACACACGGATCAAGACGCTTCCAATTTAGTAACAAGGCTCTCGAGTCTCTACCCCGAGAGGTTCATTCAAATCTCCGCACCTGCGTTTCACGAGTGAGTGTGCCTTTCGTTGATCATCGGGGGGAATGAAAGTAAAAGTTGTAAAAAACATCAATGGGGGCAAAGTGTGGCTCATTGCGACTAATCACACGGCACCTTCAGTGACAATGCCTGTGACAGAAGGTGGGGGAGATGATGAGGGAAACAAAGACCTACCTACCGATCAGGTAACAGAGGAGACAATGTAGCAGGCGCAGATCAACGACAGTTCAGATGAAATGAGGCTTACTGTTTTATGCAACAGAGAATGCGACAGATTCTACGGCCGACAGATCTTGATGGCAGGAGAACCAAAACCCAGTTCACGGTCCTTCGGGACATCCGTTAAGACTGGAATCGTACAGAGAAGATTAGCATCAGGCTCCTGCACAAGGATGACACGCGCAAAATCGGGAAATGGTCAAAAATTGAAAAAAAACAAAACCAAAAAAAATCTCACGCAGCACACGGTAAGCGAACTGAGTGGCGTTGTGAGGAACCATGATTACCCATGCTAACCAAACAAGTCACTTGTGATCATTTCACATGAGACACTACGCACGTCATTCCCACGTTATCTTTTATCTTCCAATTTGCACTAGCTGTCTGCTAAGGTCATTGCAAGGTTTTCCTCCTCTGCCTTCGACATGTCCACATTCCAGCCAGCCTTGTTCAAACCTTGACTGAGGAAATGAATTATTACCTACTCCATAACCAGGATGCTCATGGGCCTGGTTCCCAGCACGTGCTGTTTCATCATTTCCTCATTGTTGCTCAGGGGATGCTGGACCCGGTTTCCAGCAGGTGTAGCTCCCCCCACCAACAGACTGGAGCCCCCTGCATGACAGGTAGGAGTGGATGCTCTTATTATCACTCCTATCTATTGTCGCAGGTGTGTTTTCTCTGAGAAAAAAAAAAAAAAAAAAGAGGATGCTCACAGCGGTGTTACCTGGAGGAAACAGTTCTGGCTCGGTTGGACGGTGACTTGTTCCCCAGCCAAGGTGGAGGAACAGGAGGGCAGGCTTTCCAGACAGTGAGGCGTTTCAGAATGGTCGTCCATTCACTAAAGCACTGGAGAGGGGTTATGTCAAGCAGCTGCCATTCTTACTTGAAAACCGTGCAGCTTCTTGTGAGTCTATCAAGCAAATCAGCCATTCTTGCCTTTGCAAGGAAGATGAGCGATAGCGACTTCCAGAAAACCAAGCAGCATCATACAGATGAAACCAGATAGTCGTGACCTCGAACCAAAAGCAGAATTGCAACTTGAGTTCCACCAAATAAGAGCACAGCAAAAGCTCACAAGTGACAATGCTGGAAAAGTCTCATCATCATCAACAATGAACCAATGTTGAATTCCTATCTGGCGCTCAGCGCGCAGACTACAAATGGCAGATCCTATCTAGCCTATCTACAATGCCGCTGGTGACGTCAACAGCTCCCCGAAGTACGAGCAGATCTCGGCCAATGCCGTTCGCCTCAAGCACCAGGTACGTCTCACACATCACTCACAACCTCGATTCCCCACACAGATGCCACGTGCACCCAAGGACCACCATGCGCCCCATCCAGCACCTCGCAGGTCAGCTCGGCTATGGATGCCTGCGTATCCCTTGCTCGCCCGTGAGTGCGTGGGCGCTTGCCTGCCAGTAGTGCAGCAGCACTTGCGCAGCATGTAGCAAGTGCCCAAATGCTGAATGCGGGGGCAGGCACTTTCCTATATGGAAGTGGCCTGCCTGCTGCGTGCTGCCTGGCTGTACTAGGCCCCTGCCCAGAAGCTTCCGGTAGGCCCCAAGTGGCTGAGCCCCGGTCCAAGGGAATCAAGCACAGGGCCTGGGGTGGTTACCCGTGTCCAGCTGCCAGCGGCCTGTGTGCAGCCCATTCCCCGTGTCTAGCCCAGGGCCTGCCTTAGAGACATTAGGAAAAAGGCAGGCAGGGCCCGGGCTCTCTCAACAAACTGGCGCTGCGCAACTGCCTGAATTTCCCAGTTGCGTTTGAAGCCCAAAATAGGCCTCTCGTCCCCTTGTCAGGCCTGCCTTCAATTAGGGCGGCCGATATTGTTGAAAACAGGGCCCAGTAGGGCTTATCGAGGCCGTAAGCCTTGCACCTTCTACTAAAGGAGACAATTTCTGACATGCTGTCCCAGCAACTCTATGTATCACGATGTGATTTATACTCTTTTCGCAACAATCAGTCACATGCATGATAAGGAAATCATTATGGTAAGACCTGCCGCAAAGAGACAAACAGAGACTGAAAAGAGGGAACCCAAAAAAAAAGAAAAGAAAAAAAAAAGGAGAGAGGGGGGAAGGAAGGAGAGAGGAACAAATGAGAGCAAAAGAGTTAGAGAGGGAGAAATAGAAACCAACAATTGTAAATTGTAACTGACCAAAATAAGCAGCCAACCTTTCGCAATGATATTGACAACATGCCTCCAGATCTTCCGGTCAGGTGCTCGATCTTGGACGAGGGACGACAGAACTTCGTCTAAGACTTCTGTTGACAACTTGACACAAATCCGGTTTTCATTTTTGACTTCTGGAAATGCATTTTGAGTGGCAGGCTGTGTGTGATTCAGGCAGAAAGCAGTCAAAACAAATTCCTGGATAGACATCGTGTTTTGTTTTCAAAGGGTACTTCGGAAGACAGACTGAATTCAGTAACGGCCAAGTTCGTACTGCATAGCTTTCGCAGGTGTTTAACCACAACAGTTGAGTCACCAAGTTTTTGCCCTCAAAGTGCGGTCACCAAGCAGGGCTTTGGAGATCTCGGTACTCTGTCCCTGGCACTTGGCACTTGTTCCATTCTCAAATCAAAAGCTGAAAAAACTCTGACTCAAGCGTCTCTCCATAAGCCTGCAAAGCTCAGTGTCAAGCAGAGAATCGCAGACGCAACTGAGAAGCAGAGCTTTACGTCTTTTTTACCAGGCTTTCAAGCTTCCAGCCTGAGGCAACAGAATGCAATGGCGTCGAGTCAAATGTCGCAGATTCTTCAATCTTGTCTGCAGAAGACACCCTTACTGTTCAGAACAACCACACAGACACAGACTAGAAATGAACTGCGCAACACACAGATTCTTCAATCTTGTCTTCAGCGGCGGCCAGTCTGCCAATTCTGAGGAAAACTAAAATCGAGCATGGCTCTGCAGATCAGTGCTCGATGCGCTAATTTTGACGACTCGGGCTTCGTCAACGTCAAAGCCATACGGTTTGGAACCAAATCTGGTCTGCTCAGGCTTCAACGACCAGAGCATCCGAGTCTCTTTCATAAGAGGCGGAATCCCCCTGTGCGCCAAGCTTTGCCGAAACAACAGCACACCATTTCTATTTTCGTTTTGGCTTGTGCCGCCAGCTATTCTGTTCCGGTTGCCCCGAGCCTCTGAATTTTCTGGAGAGAGCCTCTCGTTGTTCTCAAGTTCCCTGGGGCCATGTGCCAGTGGTTTATAAGACTGAGACTTTTTCTTGTGGCCTGTAATGAAATCTGGTAACAGATTCTGACTCAAGGTGTCTCGACTGTCCTTGAATCTGGTCTGATTAGGCCAAGGCTCAAACCTGAGCCAGTGCACCAGTCCACAGAGCTCGCTACACAAATTCAGGCTTGGAACCAAGGTCGTACCCAAAGGTAGACAAGCACATCATTCTTTTGACTAAAAGGAGACCAGGATCTCGGACAGAGCTTCACACCTGCTCAAATATATGAGTCGGTGCAACTCCTACGAAACAGTTTGTCACAGCCACTCATTTGTTGTCCTCTTCTCCCTCTCTGCCTACGGTTTACCGGGCAGCTCTGTTTGACAAGATGTATCGTCAAACAGAGCTGCCCGGTGAACCGTAGGCAGAGAGGGAGAAGAGGACAACAAATGAGGGGCTGTAACAAACTGTTTTGTCAGAGTTTCGGCCACTCAGCCTCTAGTGCCAAGGGCGTGTCTGGAGTATATCTTTTGGCTGTGACAGACCTTTCTTTGTTTCCTGGGTGTTTTGCTGGCTTGTGATGGGGTGTGAACCCACAGTCTGTAGAGTTTTCCATCTGGTGTGGGTGAGTGATAGTCTGCTTTGATTTTCGTCACAGTATGTCGCATACCGTAACGGTACAGACCAGAACAAGAACCGACCTCTCTCACATAGTACAGGATAGCGCAGCGGAAGGCTAATATACCAATGGTCCAAACAATCAATGTTGCAATGCAGACCAAACATACATCATCATCATTCCATGGTGTGAAGGGGCCTGGCGCTCACACAGGAAGAAGCGCCAGTCCCCTACCATATACAGACGAAGAAGAGGGGGGTTAGACGAAGAAGAGGGGAAGATGGGAATGTCGTCAACACCAAGTCTTTGGTACAGGTCCCAAATAATCCCTCGTCCAATGTCTCAATCCCAATGTGGAGTCTGGATCCAAATGTCGTAAAGTCCCAAAGTCACCAATCTCTCTCTCTCTCTCTCTCTCTCTCTCTCTCTCTCTCTCTCTCTCTCTCTCTCTCTCTCTCT